GACTTTCCACAGAAATCTCACTCTCTCCTGCAGTCTCAAAATGGTTTTCCACTTTTAACTGCTCAGATGTGAGAGCAGGTTTGAGTCCGACCACATATGATTCAAGGTTAAGAACAGCCATGGCACAAGACATTGTAGAGAGTTGTCACACTGTGTGTTTATGAGGCCCAAGCTTTAGGTTTCTGAATACAATGCTGGCTAGCATCATCTTACAGAAACATGATTGGCCTTCAGTAGACAATGGAGCCAAATTGAGGCCACTAAAAAGATCTAATTAACTCACCTTTTCTAAATTTTTTAAAACTAGGGTTGATTTTCAAAGCAGCTAAAAGGGCTTTGCCTTCTCCATTAAAAATGAGATGAAGGGCATTTTTACCAGTAAGAAGAGTTCATGTATTGACAGCTTTTTTAAAAAAAATCATTTTATTAGAGGCTCATACAACTCTTATCACAATCCATATATACATCAATTGTGTTAAGCACATTTGTACACAGGTTGCCATCATCATTCTCAAAACACCTGCTTTCTACTTGAGCCCTTGGCATCAGCTCCTCATTCTTTTCCCCACTCTCCCTATTGATAGCCTTTTTAAAAAGATGCTAGCCCGTATACAGATTTTCCTACTTTTCCATATATAATTTAAGTATGTAAAAAATGAACTTGAAATACAGAATACATGTCAGGAGTCACAAGATAAACAAGATGTAGATTATATGAACGCCTTGAGCTCAGAAAATGAAAACACATCTTTTAAATTTGATGACTTTCAGAAAAATTATCACCAACCTAAAGAACCAGATACTTAATCCAAGTGGATTGATTCAATATCCTATATTCTCTTAATTCTGAATTCAGCAAAAATCTGGAACTGAAGAAATTAGGAACCAAAAGTATCATTAATCATTCTCCCAAGTTTCTCAGACTGTGTAGATAAGTACTGCCGATGTGGCTGGAAAAGCACTTCCTTGCTGTTGCAAAGTAGCAGTAGTCTGGCTTTCGACAATTTGTCACTCCAGTCTTTAGTGCCAAGTTTAAAATTAGCAAAGGATAGACACAGTCAAAAACTATGGAACAACTATTGCTTTTCATATCGAGTAATTTCTGCCATCAAGTCAATTCTGCCTCATAGTGAATTTATGGGACCGAGTACAACTGTCCCTCTGGGTTTCCGAGTAAGAACTCTACCCTGTAACAGGGGCTCTGGTCCAATTCCACAAGTAGAGTGGTTCCGTGTTGTTTTTTATGGGGCTTAATTTATGAGAGGACTTCAAAAAGCAGATGGAAAAATACCATTATCTGTTCTTTCTTTTCCATCAACACTTTGAAGACCGCTCTGATTTTGTGTGAGGACCAGAAATATGAAACATTGATGCTAACAGTAAGGACTGCCAACAAAGACAAATGAGAAAAGTATTTTTATTTGACTCTGGAGTGAGCATTTCCTCTGACATGACTGTCAGGATAGTCAGAGAGGGCAGTTTTTTATATTATCAGCCTAGGTGTGTGAGGAAGGTATTTTTGTGTTAACATTAAGACAGTCTGCTCACATAACTAATCTGACCAGGAGAATTTTTCTTTCTTTAATGGAATGCTATAATGGAGAAAACATACCAGGACTCAGGAGCCCCAGGCTCCCATCCTCTCTACCATAATGCTGTGTGACTCTGTGTGATTACCCGACACTACTGTCCACACAGAAAGAGAAAATGAGATGATTTTAATCACTTCTCCCTATTTTGCACCTTTGGTGTGGCAGTGAAACCAAATACTTAAGGTGAACTCTCCTGTAAGGAGGGCCCACGGAAGAAAAGGAGAACGGCTTTCCGACTATCAGGGCACTCAGTGCACGCAGTGCTGTTACTGCACAGAAGAAAACACCCCTTTGTTCTCAGGCCTACGTCGGCTGAGAACAAACGATAGGTGCTGATATGCAGCAAAGTGAGTAACATGCAAAACTTGTGCCCTCATAACAGTCACAAAATTAGCTAGGGTTGATTATCAAAGAGTTGAAAGACACAAGCGTTTGGAATAAAATATGTTGGGTTGTCCTAATGATTCTAGATTTCAGAGGTGACTAACCTATTATTCTCAGTTTCTGCAATTTGCTGCAGAAGTAAACTGAAGAAAGTCACAACTATTAGAAAGTAAGGAGTAATTTAACTAAAAAGAATAGAGCATACAGTATTTTACTGGAATATAAATATACATACTTTGTTGCAAAGCAGCACTGTATCCGTAGAGGTCGAAACAGGAAGTGTTTAAAAGTTTTCTTTACAACATACCATCTACTCAAATGGATCTTAAAGTTGCTCACATGTGAATTATAGGCTCTGGGCTAGATTTAGTCACATGTAAACAGAAATTCAGTGGTTTGGGTTAATGCTCAACATACTATTATTTTCTTAAGTTACTTGGATTAAAGGTGAAGGAAATATTAAAGTACATAAAAATGCATGAAATAAATTCCTGAATTTACTTTGGTCATATAATCTTGGGAAAGGATGCTTTTTATAGATAAATACACAATCTCCCCTCGTTTTTACAACAGTTTTTAGTTAAAGAGTTGTATATTTTTCATCATCCCCCAATAATTCCCTTTGAAGCATATACTATGAAGAAATTGAGGAACATTAGGTAACTACCCAAGATATGTGCCTGAGCCCCAGGCCTTCTACTAGGTAAAAGCAATTAAGGGTACTGTGGGCTTCTCAAGAAAAATGGCATTAAGATCACGTCTTCTTTTTTTTTTTTGGTGGTAAGAGATTTTGATAAAACAAGAGAGGACTAGATGTCTGTTCCACAGCCATTTAGGGCATCTCTCCCCATCTCCAATCATAAATTACATTTGGTAGAAATAAGGATGGGCCACATAAAGTCATGTTTACAACACACGTTTCTTTTTTTCCCAGTACTATGGCTTTTATCTTTTTTTTAAACTTACAACAATTTTATTTACATATTTATTTTTCTCTCTCTTTTAAAAATCATTTTATTGGGGGCTCATACTATCAAGAATCTTTTTAGAGATTTCTAGTAACAAAAATTAGCCCTTTGCCATCGCAGTATTCCATAAATATGCCAGTTGTTTCTTAATATGATGAAGTTCTTCATAGTCAAAATCATCTTTCCTGTTTTGGGGTACCTCACTGGATCAACAAGCATGGCACACATATGGCAGGAAGGACAGAGTTGCTTGAAAAGTGAGTGTCAAAGGGAAATAGCTTGTAGAAGACTGAGAAGATGACCAGAGACTACAGAGAAGATTGGGTGGGGGTGGGGGATTTGGGTACATCCTATCTCATTGATTCAATAACTGTGTTCTAGTAAATGCTAATTGTTTGGCAGCCTTCATACTAGATGTTAAGGATGGAAAATGAGTACGACAGACCCTAAATCTATTCTCAGGAATTAAAGACTGCATGTCACGTATACAAACAAGTAGAGACCATTACAATAGTAACAAAATTTGGTGACCAGTGTCACAGGGTGGTGTTGACGTTGATGCTGTACCACTGCATCAATTTTGATTGACAGCAATCCCATGGGACAGAGTAGAAGTATCTCATACTTCTCTTGGCTGTCACCTTTACGAAAACAGGTTACCAGGTTCTTTTCCCACAGAACTGCTGGGTGGGTCCTAACCACCAACCTTTTGGGTGACCTGTTGAGTACTTAATTTCTGCTTCATTGGGGTATATTCAGGTAAATGTCAAGACAGCACAAGAAGAGTAGTGGGGGGTGAAGGGTACCTGAATGAAGTAAAGCTAAATGACAACTAGGAAAATGTTATTAGAAGAACATTAAAGAGTTTTCCAAATTGTCAACATTATGTTTGAAGGCCAATAGGTATCAGAAAGCATGCTGTGCTCAGAGTGACTAGCTGCAGAATACGAGAGTATGTGAGGGAGTAAATGGAGAAAGGTAACAGAGGCAAGACAGTCAGAGCCCAGAGCGTTAATGAATTACCATCTGCATTACAAGACATAATCAGAGAATGGGAAGCAGAGAAGCACAAAAGCCAAGAAAAAGGATCTAAAATTGGAGGGCTGGGCCCAGGTTTGTGCAGTTGGAAAGACAGACTGTATAGTTTGCTTTTTACTAAGGCAAAGTAGAACTGCTCCACAGGGTTTCCAAAGATAAAAATCTTTACAAAAGCAGACTTTGTCTTTTCCCCATGTAAGGAGAAGCTGTTGAGTGTGAACTGCTGGTCTTTCGGTATCCACTGTACAACAGGGCTCCTTGGCTGTTAGATAGACTATTCTATATTAATATCAACTGGACCAAGTTGGTTGATGATACTCAGGAGTCTTCTGTAAATCCTTATGGATTTCCTACTTGCACTACCAATTATCGAGAGGGGAGTAAACAAAATCTCTATCTGTAACTGTAGATTTGCTTATTTTTATGCTTTTGTTTCTACTTTATACCGAACCTCTGATATTAGTATATAAATACTTGTTATTCCTTGATGCTTATCATTGACATAAATGTTTATCCCTACTCAGTAATTTTTCTTTGTCCTAGAACCTATTTTGTTGAATGTTAATATAGCTAATAATCTGATCAAATTTAGGAACCCTTTTAGGAAAATCTGACCTAGTCAAGCTAATGTGCTTAACTTCAGACGCTCGCACTCCACTAAGATCCAAATTAAGAATCTTTACCTTTAAAGTTCAGCTCACATTAAAAGTAATTTTAAAATTCAGGTCTTCAATCCAGTTACTTTAATTAAGCAAACACTATCAAATGAACACTTCGAATACTTGAATTCATGGTTGACTGGATTTAGAAACAATGTTTATAAATTAAAAATAAAGTTCACCATCTGTGTTTTGCACATCCTTGAACTGAACAATGGCAGTCCATGTAATGCCTAAATTAACCGAGGCTATCCTATTAGCAACTGCAGGGGCAAATAAATAGTCCCTGCTTGCTTTGTTGTTCGTTCAAGTTAAGACCTACTGCAAGTGAGCCAATCCACTTCTAATGCAACCCTTACCTGTTGCTATGCTTGGATTTTTCTCGGTCCTTTTCCTTGTCCTTCTTGTGTTCTTTGTGGCGATGTTCTCGGTCTTTGTGTTTATCTTTGTGTTTGTGAGAATCTGCAACCACAAAAGAGGAGTCAATTAAAAGAAGCTCACCTACCTAGACAAACAGGTCTTGATGAACTGACTATATGTATAGGGCATGGTAGCCTTAACACCACATCCCACTGGGAAGGAAAGATTTCACTATGAAGTTCCAAATCAGGCATCCCCTTGCCTTGATTCTAAAACTCGTACATTATGTTACACATAAGCTTGAGGAGAAAAAACAACAACAACCAATTCTACTATGAAAGGAACCCTAAAATTTGACATCTTTCTCCCTAGATCTTTTATTAGGTAAGCCTAAGCCATAATATTACAAAGAAACCTTTTAACACAATTTTTCATGTTCAGATAGCTGTGTATCTGTAAAACTCCTGGGAAATCCAAACTTCAATAGTTTTTATAATCAACTTTGAAAAATACTCATTTAAAAGATACAGGTGTATATCCACTAGTAGATGATAATCCATTCAACAAAATACTACGTGCAGCCATAAGAATGAGTCCTCAAAACAGACAATGAAGATTCAGAAGATATTCATTACCTCAAAAAGGTTTTCTCTTTTGGCCCCCTCCCCGCCAGACATTCCCTACCTTCTGTCCCCAAACCCAAGGCAATCACGAAACTGTAAGCACTACTGAATAGATTTGTCTAGATTTCGAAACAGTTTCACAGAAATGGGATAAAAAAGAATTTACTCTCTTATGCCTGGTTTTTTCAACCACGTTGTTCAATTTATTAGTAGTTCATTTCATTCTATAGCCTGGTGGTAAAATGGTAAAGAATTGGGTAGACAATTGAAAAGCTGGAGACTCTAGACCAGAGGAGGTACACTGGTACAGATAGGAACTGAAAATACAGGGAATCCAGGATGGATGAGCCCTATAGGACCAGTGGTGTGAGTGGCAAAACAGGGAGGGTAAAGGGAGAATGGGTAGGGAAGAGGGAACCGATTACATGGAACTGTGTGTGACCTCCTCCCTGGGGGACAGACAACCGAAAAGTGGGTGAAGGGAGAAGTCGGACAGGGCAAGATAGGGCTCATGTGGGAGAGGGGAGCGGGGAGGGAGGGGAAAAATGAGGACCTAATGTCGGGGGTTTAAATGGAGAGAAAATGTTTTGAGAAATGATGTACAAATACGCTTTACACAATTGATGTGTGTATGGATTGGGATAACAGTTGTATGAGCCCCTAATAAAATGTTTAAAAAATAAAAAAAAGAAAAGCTGGAGACTCAATCCATCAAGTGGCTTTGCAGGAGGAAAGTCCATTTGATCTGATCATGTAATAATCACAGCCATAAGAACACCATAAGAGGCAGCAGTTCTACACGGGGTCCCTATGAATCAAAAACAACTTGATGGCACATAGCATTCTATTTTTATTTTATCTATTCACGTGTTGAGTGATATGAGTTGTTTCTGAGTATTACAAATATATTATAAATACATTTGCTGTTGAGGAGTAACCATTTCTTTTGGGCAAAAAAAACCAAGAGTGAAATGCTGCCTGATTCTGCACCTTATTCATGATTATAGACATGTTTTAAAAGTTTAGTCAATGGAAAAACATTGTTCTAATCCATTGGATCTTCGCTCGCTAATTTTCAGATCTCCAGGCCTTTCTAGTCTATGCACCGCACTGAACCATGACCATCATTGTTAGTTGGTCCTTCTGCTATCTCAAGTACAGGTGGTAACATTCCAGCATCGCAGCAACACACAAGTGACATTATATATAACACATTGACAAAGTGGTTGTGCCATTATGCTTTTCCAGCAGCAATACATTAATTAGAATTCCAACTACTTCAAATTTTCATCAATGCCTACTATTGTCAGTCTTTCATTTTAACTGGCATTTCCCTGCATATTAAACAGTGCTTAAAGGTAAACACCTTTTCATGTGCATTCAAGGTGTCCTAGTGGTGCAACAATTAAGCATTCTTTCACTCCTTAGGTGAAAGGTTGATGGCCTAACACAGGGCCACCTTGGGAGAAAGCACTGGTGATCTGCTCTCATAAGATTAGTCTACAAACCACCATGAGGCAGTTCTACTGTCACCTTATCCTACCCATCCTATAGCACTGATCTTGCCTCTTCAGACTTTTCATAGTTTCCCAAACTTAAAGAACATGTCCCTCAAGGATGTGCCATTTTAATGTGGTATAACTAGAAGAACATAGAATTCTTTGGGAAAGGGTTAGACAGAAACATTGCTTCCAGAAGTGTATGGACCTTAATAGAGGATATGAGAAACAAAAGCTCTACATTTTTTGATACTTTTACTTAACAAAGGTGTCATGATTTTTGTGGCAATACTTTTTGAGCAACTTAGAGATATTTTGCCTCATCAAATTTTTAAATGGCAAATCACTTCACCTAACAAAAATGAAGCAGTATTTTTAATTACCAAGCTTAAAATTTTATTTTAACAAGTACAAGTATTAAGCAAAAGATAATAGTAGTTAAAAAGTTACTAAAATGTACTAAATTTAAGGGAAGCAAATAAATGGCAAACTAGATTATTTCCACATAAATTTCAGTTAACCAATATAGTAATAATACTGCTACTCATTTCTTAAGGCTTAAATTTCAAAACTGACTTTAAGTCAGGTCCCCAAGCTTTTTTTTTTTTAAAGCAATTGCTATTCCAAACTGTAGAATCCAAATGTCCAATGAGACACTTAGGACTTGGGTCAGGTTTATCTGACCTAGGTCTCACTGGTGCAAGCAAGACCAATGTGAGTTATCTGTACTGCAACTGTCCCTAAGTCATTACATTCCTACTGTGTGCTCAAATTGCATTATGTACTGGCAAACAGCTCGAAAAACTTTGAACTGTCACCCAATCTATTCCAATCCATAGGAACCCTATAGGACAGGGTAGAACTGTCCCTGTGGACTTGAGACTGCAACCCTTTACAGAAGTAGAAAGGTTCCTCCTTTCTCCCATGGAGCTGTTTTGAACTGCTGACCTCACAGCAGAACACGGAGCTCACTATATCATTAGGTAAAGCTAATAGAAAGTATAATACATGGCAATAACTTTAAATACCTGCATGACTACTATGTGGATTATAGTATAATATAGGGAAGAGACATAAACTTACTTTGTATAGCTCCGCATGACAGGCTGGGACCTGAGAAAAAACAAAAGAGAGGCAAATATGGGTCAGCACACACAGAACTGCCCACAAATCAAATGGGGTGCCTCCTGAACACCAGAAGGGTTTAAACAAATTAAATAACCAACTCACATGAAGATTATATAAATGATCTGCCCCGGGCAAACCTAGGTATCAAATATTTTTAAAAGATTCATACTGACCTATTTATGGGTGAATTACTTGGGGAATTAACTTTAAATTAGCCCCCATGGGGCAGAGATTGGTAACAGATTGGCAGTAAGAGTGGTTGAAGTTGGGTGATGGATACATGGACACTTACTATGCTTTCTCCACTGCTGAGTCAGCTTCAAATGTTTCATCATAAAAACGAAACATCTTTTCTAAGCTTTTTTCAGGGTTTGTTTTCTTCTGGTTATTATGTAAGGACACATGGAAAAACCTAGCCTAATTTTAAGAAAAGGACTTGTGTTAGGCGGTTAAAGAAAAAACTTGACCAATAAAATTAACCCAAAAGTCAGGCTGTCCTAATCTAAAGGGTAACAAGGAACCACTTCAAGCAGAAAAGGAGCAAAATAAAAGCCATACTTAGAAGATTAATTGAAAGGAAGTGTGGGTAGAAGAGCAGAAGTAAAATCACTAGCTGGAGGTTTTTGTAGCAATGAAGGAAAAAAATATTAGCAAATGGACTGAGAAAGAAAAAAGTTTTAAGGGGGCAGGTGGGCGGAAGTAGATCCTGTTTGGAGAGCACAGCGTCTACATGTGAAAAATGCAGGGTCCAGCGATTAGAAAAATGAAAGGTCTCTGCAGAAATAGCAAAGCTGTACAGTACAAAAATGGTGAGAAAGAAAACCCAGGGGCATGGTAACCCTAGTGAAGTTCTATTAGATTTAAGGTTAAAAAGTGGAGCATCTGACTAAACATATTGGTTGGATGAGAACTGGGGAAGTGCAAAGCTACTAAGAACATACCAAAAATATCCCCTTAAACAGTAAAGCCATTTGTTTTGGACAGCATACCAATGGCCTTGAGGGGTTTACCCTTAGCTGGGCCAAAGAACAAATACTGTTAAAATGATTTGGAGAAGAGATCTTGCTACTTAAAAGATTTGATCACTGCAAATATAACTAAGTAGAACCTGACAGACAGAATAATGAACGGTGCAAGTCAAGTAATTACACAAAATCCAGTTACCTAATAGGTATTGACGGAAGGCATCTGTTTTATTACTGGATTCAGATTTATAATGAAGGTTAATTCCATCAACAGGCCCCAGTACATTTTATATTTATCATCTCTGATTTTATAACGAGGGGTGGTGGTGGTGCACATAGGGAGTGTCATCTACCCTATTTTTCACATAAAATGCATAATGCACACACACAACACACATAATGTATAGGAAACTAACATGAAAGAGTATTGCAGTTTGTGAAACCCACAAAAAAGCAGGCATTTGTGTAAAATTATGGCATTTCATCAAATCTAAGGCTTATTTTACCTCATTTACGATCTCAGAATTTAAGTTGCACTTGACCCGCAAATCTACAGATTTGACAGAAGATGTTTGTACATGAGTATCGGACTCTGCTGCAAATATGTCCATGAATGTGGTGGAGCAAGCACGGGCAAAGTAAGTGAACAGGTGCAACTACTGGAGGAAAAAAGAGTGAAGAAAACTGATTAACTTTAAAAATAATTAGTCCAATAAACAACTCAAGGGCCATGTGAATAGCAGGCTCCACAACCCTGACACCAGAAGAACATCTAGTGCCCACTAACTGCTCTGAAAAGGGTCACCTTAGGAAGTCCTGGGCAGAATGTGAGAAAAAGTGGAACAAAACTCAAAATCACAAAAAAGGCCGGGCTTAGTTGTCAGGCAGAAAGAAACTGATGAAATCCCAGACCATGGCTCTTAGTCGCCACTCTTCAGGTATGAAACAAATTCACCTTTGTGTCAATTTCCACCTAAATAACATATCTATAAGGGAACAATAACACTAAGGAAGTACATACACCTTAGAATAATAAACTATTTGAGGTCAAAAGGACAAAGTTCAGAGAGGTTAAGAAAGAAGAAATGAAAACAAGTAATGTAGGCAGACATTACACTGTGGGAACTGCAATCAAGGAGAAACAATGGGCATAAACTACTGAATGGAAAACGGGTCTGTTCTCTAACCCACCCTTTGTCCAATTCACAGTAAAGTTCTAGGAAGAAATGCCACTGCAGTGCAAATAAAAAACGAGAATGACAAGAACTGATGTTGGAGAAGTAACACTGGTTAAAACTTATGGGTCATTATAAAAGAAGCCGAATCTCACTGTTGCAATGCCTATGGAGGGGGCAATTGGGTAAATCTGGTAGTAACTGAGTCCAGCATAATTGGGTCCAATATTGAAACGTCTCAATGTGCTACCTCTAACAAAACCTCCTTCCCCTCCAACAGTCCCATGAAGATATACCTCCAAGGTGTACCTTTAGAAAAGGGGGGGTGATAGTGGCAAAGGTAAGAAGGAGGACAAGTAACAAGGAAAGGAAAGTCAAAAAGCAAATTAAGAAAAGAATGTAAGGAAAAACTTAACGTCTGGGGGAATTCTATTAGAATTTTTCTATTTTCAACATTCAGAGCTATAGCTGCAAATGTGCTGATTAAATATTTTATTAAAGTATTACCTATATACTTGAGTATAAGCTGACCCCAGTATACACCGAGGCACCTAATTTTAATACAAAAACAGCATTTTAAAGCTCGGCTTATACTGGAGTATATACAGTATTTAACAATAAAAGGCAGAAAATGTATGCTAGGCATACCAGCATGAAGCAGGGAACCAGTAGAGAGGTCTGAGGGGCCAGCCCCAATCCCAACTACATGGACAACCCCACCTCCCTGCAGAAGAATTCACTGTAGCACTGAAGCTACAGCTCAGGGAGAGGGACATGTCTGATCAGAGCACACAGGAGTAAATGAAGAGAGAGGAAGAGAGAGTGGAACACATCCTGGCCCAAGTCCTGAGGACGATATTCCCGCTCAGAACAGCCAAAGCAGAGAGGTCCACAGGGCTGGCCCATTAAGAGACATGACGTCCCTCACTGACCCATGGCCCTACAGGGGACAACACTGGAGACACAGTGCAGGAATTGCGCCCAATCTGACCCCACCACACTGAGGCGAAACACTAAGGGTGTGCAACAAAAAAGCAAGGGAACAGAACAATGAAATCCACGGGGAATACCAAAAATAGACTTTGGAGACAGGGCATGGCACCCCATCAGATGACTGGAAAACACTCCCTAAAGGTCAATAAACAGACCTTGAACTATTTACAGGCTTTTCTCTCTGTTTGGTCTTTTTGTTGTTGTTTCGTTTTCTTTTGTTGCTTTGTTTTGCTCATTTTTTGTGCATACTATTATCTCTGCAGGTCTATCTAGATAAGATTGGTGGGATAAACAATCTGGAGGAGAAAATAACTGACCGATGGTTCCTGAGGGACATGGGAGAGGGAGAGGCAGGGGAATGGAAGTGGATGTTAACAAACCCAGGGGGCAAGGGAACAAGTGATCCAAAAATCGATGGCGAGGAGGGTATAGGAGGCCTGGTAGGGCTTGATCAATGGCAATATAACCCAGAGGAATTACTGAAACCCAAATGAAGGCTGAACATGCCAATGGAGGAAAGTAAAAGGAAAGAGAGGAAAGAACTAGAAGGCAAAGGGCATTTACAGAGGTCTTAATACAGGCATGTACATATGTAAATCTATATATGATGGAGAAATAGCTCTATGTGCATATATTTATAGGTTTAGTATTAAGGTAGCAGATGGATATTGGACATACTCAAGTACTCTCTCAATGCAAGAACGTTTTGTTCTATTAACCTGGCTTTCCATGATGCTCACCTTCCTGACATGATCGCTAAAGACAAAGTGGGTGAAGAAAGCTAATGGTACCTGGCTATCAAAAGATATAGCGTCTGGGGTCTTAAAGGCTTGAAGGTAAACAAGAGGCCATCTAGCTCAGAAGCAACAAAGCCCACATGGAGGAAGCACACCAGCCTGTGCGATCACAAGGTGTCGATAGAATCAGGTATCAGGCATCAAAGAACAAAAAATCATATCGTTGTGAGTGACAAGGAGTGCGGAGTGGAGACCTAAAGCCCATCTGTGGGCAACCTGGTCATTCCAGTCCCTTACAGAAGGGTCGTGGGGAGGAGTCTAGCCAGTCAGGCTGCAGTATGGCACCAATGTAACATACAACTTTCGTCTAGTTCTTTAATGTTTCTTCCCCACCCCACCCCCACTACCATGATGCCAATTCTACCTTACAAATCTGGCTAGACCAGAGGATGTACACTGGTACAGATAAGAACAGAAAACACAGGGAATCCAGAACAGATAAACCCCTCAGAACCAATGAGAATAGCGATTCTAGGAGAAGGGAAAGGTAGGAGGAGAAAGGGGGAACCAATCACAATGATCTACGTATAGCTCCCTCCCAGGGAGATGGACAACAGAAAAGTGGGTGAAGGGAGACATTGGACAGTGTAGGACATGAAAAAATAATAATGTGTATGTTATCATGGGTAAATGAGGGGAGGAGGAGAAAAAATAAGGAGCTGATACAAGGGCACAAGTAGAAAGAAAATGTTTCAAGAATGATGATGGCAACAAATGTACAAAAGTGCTTGACACATGGATGTATGTAATGGATTGTGGTAAGAGTTATACGAGCCCCCCCCAAAATGATTTTTAAAAAAAGCAAATTAAGTCAGTAGAGAAGAAGCCTTTTTAAATTGGAATGTGCTGCAACTGAATTAATATTTTCTACACCTAAAATCTCAAATATTTCAAGTAACAGTGTTTTTGTTACATCATAATGTGCCTGTATTTAGAAATCAGTTAACAAATACTTTCCTGGAGGTTTGTCAAAAAAGGTGTCAAAATTGTCTACTTTTTAGAAGGCACAGAATTTCTTAACTTATGGACAAGTAACAATTAAGATAATAAAGGGA